TTACATAAGAACAAATATGTTACCAAATACAGACATATTTACTTTATAATTCCAAGAGTTGACCCTCAACAGAAATGGAATAGAACTAAGACATCTTAAGTCCCCTTGTCACCTCCCCAATGTCTCCATTTCTCTTCAGGTTCAATTCAAATATTTAGTGCTGGGGAAATGAGAAGAGCCCTTCTTGGTGAGCCATCACAGTCAGAGCCTTTGCTGAAGTAATCTAAAGGATCTTCGAACTAGCAGAAGAGAGGGTCTTTCCAACATTTCCACTGCTGATCTGAAAAACCTCAGTTGGCAGGGAAACAAAGGCAGGACTGATGGTCTTTCTGTCTAAACAGTAGGCTTCTTCCAACAGTTCCAGGAAGTCAGACTTGTTGACTTCTATTGTGGTCACGCGCCTGCCACCAAAGGTTGGAATCCAGGGCCCGTCATGGCCAACCCTCAAGACCACCCTGACATTGTTCTGGGCTGCTCTCTCCAGATCTCTACTGACCCATTTACAAATCATTGCCCCTCCACTGGGTCCCAAAAGCTTTTATCCTGGGGAGAAACCAGTAGTCTCAGGTGTCAATCACCCCCATTCAGTCTTAGAGTTTTCAGGCCCAAGTTCCCTTGGCCTCTGAGGGTGATTTAGCCTCCAGGTAGATGTAGCCTCCAGCTGTGCTTCCAGCCACTTGGGTTTCCAGAAAACCATTTCCTACAAGTCTTCGAAGAACTGCAGGCTTCCAAACCTTGTTATGAATCTGCAGATTGGAGCCTTGAGCACATATTTACACTCCCTGCAATAAATTGATATGAGAGTTATTGCTAATTGTTTTATGATTTTGCAACTATGTGTGGCGGTTTAGAATTGATTCTCAGCCAAGATTGAAGATTCATGTGCCTTCAGGGTATTTTGAGATGAGGAATTATCCTTGAATGGAGGAAATGGTAGAGGGAAGATCCAAAAGTTGAGGCTTGAAAGGGAAAGAAGAAAGGAGCCAAGGTCCTTCAAGTGCCGACTGTGAGCTGGGCACTGCCAGGCAATTTTCCACAATACATTCGTCTGTGTGACCCGTGCCTATAAGACACCAGAGCTCTCAGCCCCTTGTCAGCAGGGCAGAAAATGGAAAGGTTTAGATACACAGGAGGTCAAAGAACCCTTGAGTGACAGAGCCACAACCTTATCAGAGTCCAGCTAAGGCTGGGCATTGTGGGATCCCTGGGGGAGGGTGGGGCTGGCGGTGGGGAGTGGACAGGATTTGGAGATGAAGACCTGTGGCAGTAAGGAGGCCCTTGGGGTTACTGTGCTATGAAAGCAGAGCTGAGGGAGGGGTGGGAAGTCAAGGGGGCAGAGGTATCAGGCAACTCTGGCTCACTCACGATTTTATTCCATAGGTTGTAATTCTCACTGTAAATTTTGTTCAGAGCCTCAGTTGCACGAAGATGAAGATGTGGAGGCAGGGAACCAGCAGTTAGCGTAATGGCTATGTCGCTGGACTCCCACGTAGTCGACCGTGGTTCGTGTCCCGGACCCGGTGGCTTAAAACTCACGCCGGGCGCGTGTGCGTGCCCAAGATCCCGAGGGGAGAATGGAGGAGAAGGGATTGCAGCGTGACCATTCCCCCTGGGGGGTGATTTCTCGCTTTCTGTCTCTATGTCTCTGTCTGTCTGGCGAGCGCACGCGCCCTACAGTGAAAAATATCTCAAAAAAAAAAAGAAAGTAAAAAAAAAAAGATGTGGAGGCAGAAGTAAAATGCTATCGAACATTCAGGTCATCCTTACAGCCCACTCACCTGGGCTGGCCAGCGGTGTGGTGGTTAGAGCGGCTGGACCCCACATGCCAATTGCATGGTTTCAGCAAGCTCTAACTGACAGGGTGTTAATTGAATGCCGTGCCTGTAGCCTAAGAGGATTCCTCAGCTATTCCCCCCAACACCCCAGTGCGCATTGTGAACTGAAGACGGTTTCTGTTTGTTTGGTTTGGAGAAGTTTTTGCTATAGGGCACATGTGCTTTCCAGAAAGACAGAGAGAGACAGATAGAAAGCTATGGGGTGGGGGGAGAGAGGCATTCTCTCTCTCTCTCTCTCTCTCTCTCTCTCTCTCTCTCAGACGAACACACATGCCCTGTAGCAAATTAAAAAGAAAAACAAAAAAGTAAGAAAATCTAGCATGAGACCAGATAGGCAGGAGCAGTCTGGGTGGAAAGACGGGTGCTGCAGCCTGGCTTTCTGTCTGTTCCCGTTAGGGTACCCAGAACCTGGGGTGCCGCCCAGGGCGTTGGCCGAGAGGCAGAGCAGTGATGTTACCTGCGTGATTATCGCTTTGAGCTTTGACTTGAGTTCTGAGTCTAGGATAGAAACACGTGATTTCTTCCTGACCTCAAGGCTGGCTCTTATCTACCTACCCCAGTAATGAGCACACACACACACACACACACACACACACACACACACATTCCCCTGCTGCTCCACAAAGCACACTCACTCACAGTCATACACACATGGAGTAAGTACGCATGAAGATCCATGCACACAATCATACGACATGCACATGCCTAGTCCACTGTGTTCTCTCTCTGGCTCCCCTCCCTTTCTGATGTCGCCATAAATAACCTCTTCTGTTTTATCCCTGAACCCCCTCCCTTATCCCCAACATCCTCCAGCCTCACCCACTTTGGCCCTTGTTCCTCCTCTGGCCAGCTAGGCGGGCCCATGTGCCCTGACAGGTGGGGCCTGTGTCCCATGGGTGTCCTGGGAGCAGGAGCGCGGGGAGGGCAGTGCCCCATCCCACAGGGCAAGCGCTGACCGGCCCTGAGCTGGGCTTGTCAGCATCCAGCCCCATCAGAGGCTTTTCATCTCAGGAGCTCTATAAACAAGTGGCCTCGTTAAAGTCCATTTTACAGACGGGGACACTCTAATCATCGTAATGGCATCGCAGGGAGAGTGGCCTTTCATCTGCGGTCACAGAGGGCTTTCTGCGTACTAATTAGAAATCCCGGAGGAGGGTTCAGCTCTGTCCTTGTCACCTCCAGCGCCAGGAGGTGGAGATGCAGGATGTGGACGTTAGAAACATGTGGCCACTTCTCCGCCCAGGAGCCTGGCGGGCCGAAGGGGGCCCTGTGTGAGCACCTGGGAGTGGGCGGTGGAGACCAGGAAGGGATTTAGGGGCGGAGAGGAAGGCTGTGGGTGAGTCCTCGTGACTGATCATCCCTAGGCCACAGCGTCGCCAACAGAGTGAAAGACGAGCACAGTCCTCGACCGTGCAGGGTGGGGGTGTCTGCTGAGCGTTTCTCAGCAGGGCCAGGACCACCGCCCAAGTCCTGCTTTAGGCCTGGGGCCGCCCCACGTGGTTGATAGCGGTGGCGACGGAAAGGCCGGTGGCTGTGGAGCCATCGCTAACAGGAGCACTGATTCTGCGGCCACCGGGTGCCGGGAGTGTGGACAAGAAAGGGGCAAAGTCATTTTCAGGGGTTCGGACCAGGTTTCCCAGGGCTCCAAGAGAGGGGTGTGCCTCTAGTAGCCATGCCTGAGCTGAGGCCGGGAGAGTTGTTTTTATCCATTTATTTATTTTTGGGTTTTGCCATAAGACACGTGCACTTGCTGGAGAGACAGAGAGGGAAAGGCCTGGGGGAGTTTTGGAGGTGCTCATGCTCAGGACCACCTCACATGCCGCGTTGGTTGGCCTGGTGCGTGGCCAGGGTGGCGTTCCCTGCAATCCTGGTCTCCATCGGGGCTGAACGTCACCGTTCACGGCCGGTGTGGTCCCAGGCCGCACCTTGAGCATCACCTGAACACTTGTTAGAAATGCGTTCTCCGGCTTCATGCAGCGCCACTGATCGCAAATTTGCATCCTCAGTGCTTCTCAAGCACTAATGTGCCTCCGGTCACCTGGAGATCTTGCTACAATGCAGATTCTGATTCTGATTGAGATCGTCCTGAATCCTAAATCCGAGACCTGCCCCTGGGCCTGGCAGGTTATCAGCCTGCAAAGTGACATTTCTTCTTCTTTTGTTTCAACTTTGCTATAGGGTGTGTGAGCTCACTAGAGGGAGAGAAAGAGAGAGAGAGAGAAAGAGAAATCACCCCCGGGGGAGGCCATGCCTTTCTCCTCCCATTTTCCTCTTGGGATTTGGGGCACGCACGTACATAGACCAGCCTATTTTTCAGGCTGCCAAGTTCAGGATTCGAACTGCATAGTCAGTCACGTGGGATCCAACACTTAACCTCCATACCATCTGCTGGCCTGATAAGTGACACTTGCATAGTAACTTAGAGTTCGCCAGCATTTTAAGTGGTCTCGGTTTTTGCCTAACTCTCAGCCCCATCCTGCATTCACCCCGTGGGGTCCTAACTATATGCGGAGGCTCCGGATCTGAAAGCCCTCTCCTGCCAAAAGCCCTCAGCTACTACGTCGCTGGACTCCCACGGAGTCGGCTGCGGTTCAAGTCCTGGGCAGGTGGCTTGAAACTCATGCCGGGCATGTATGCGCGTGTGTCCAAGATCCCGAGAGGAGAATGGAGAAGGGATTGTGGCATGCCCATCTCCCCTGGAGGGTGATTTCTCACTGTCTCTGTCTCTCTGGCAAGAGCATGTGCCCTATAGCAAACATCTCTCTCTAAAAAAAAAGAAAAAAATACAGGAACCCAACTAAGTTCGAGTTTCAGGCAAACAGTAACTTTGTAGAAGTCTGTCCCACTGCCATATGCGAGGCGTACTGCTACGACAAGCTCATTGCCGTTAATCTGAAGGTGTCCTCTAGTCTTATCTGACAGCCCAAATTCTCGTTCCCAGCATCCACGCCTTCCATGAGGGTATCTGAGGCAAGGATGTGCATATCCGGTCTCAGGCATCCAGTTTTGCCAGGGGAAGCTGCCGGGAGGGACTGGCTGTCAGGTTCCTTGTGAAAACTGCCCCAGATGGACAGACACAACACCCTCCTTGTCTTCCTGGCTATGAAGTTGGTTTTCCATGAATACGTCTCACGTGAATGAGCAAACCGGTTTCTCCTCCTCCAGGCACCAGACAGCATATGCCAATGACATAGCCCAGCCGGGAGCCGGGAGCCCAGAATGCGAACATGGAAAGATACTTTTCCTGGAACCAGGTAACATGAGCCAAGCAGCTATATATAAAATTTGGTCCAAACGTCACAGACAGAATGTTCTGAAAGGGTCGGAAGTGGGCGAGCTCGACCTCAGTATGCAGCTGTCACTCACACTGTAGGCATACCACCGACGTGACCTAATACAATAGGAATTGCTGAGAGAATCGGGGTGGTGACAATCTAAAATGCAAGGGTATAAGTGAGTATGCGATGTCTGTCCATGCATTCACTGGAACATGGTTTCTCGACCACCTACTAAGTGCCAGGCATTGGGTGTGCCAAGACACACCCACCCTCACTTTGTTCTCCTCTTTCGGGGGGACAGGTGAGTGAGGGCAGTTAGAGAGCAGCATGGCGTGTGCTCTCTTAGGGTAAGTACAGGTGCTGCAGGGACCCTCGAAGGCGACTTACCCGGAGGTGAGGGTCAGGAACATGTTTCTATGGGAAGACCTGATGTGGAGCTGGAATTAGTGGGGTGAAGAGGACGGGAGGAACAGAGAACTTCAGGCAGAGGAAGCAGCACCTACAAGGCTGGGAGAAGGGAGAATGTGACACCCTCAGGCACCTGCAGATTGTGGGGTGCAGTGAGAGGGCATGAGATGAGGGAGCTGGGCAGGGGCCAATGATGACGTTGGTAAGCCTGGAATTCAGAGCAAAAGGAAGTCTCGTGGAAGGGCCTTAAGCAGAAGGGTGTGACAAGGGACGATGGGTTGGGAGGGGCAAGCCTGGGACACAGAGACCAAGCAGAAAGCTGATGTACACACCCCTGGGAGACAGAGTGATGGGCCTGCCCAGGTGGTGGTGCAGGTGTGGAGAGGGGGGAATGCAGAGGAGGACCCAAGGAGGTGGGGTCTGCAGGACTCGGAGAGTCCATAGGACATGAGGGGTGAGGGTCAGTGTTTGCTTGGTTCCTGGGATAAGCAGTGCATCTTTAACCTGGCTAGCCCCTAGCACCAGGCTTGAAGACCCAGCTTCCTTCCTCTTTTGTAAAAATTACATTTGTTTTCTTTATTCATGATAGAGCACATGCCCATGAGAGTGAGTGAGAGAGAAATAGAGAGAGAAATAGAGAGCAGAGAGAGCCCTCCACGAAGTCTGGTCCTGCCACGGTCCCCTCCCCATCCTCCAGCCTGTTGGATCTCGGGCACTTGCACACGTTCCCAGCCTGTTGCAGGGATTCAGACTACAGTCACCACGTGGCATCCAGCTTTTCCGAGGCAGCATGTCACCACTGCACCTGGAGCTGGCCCCACTTCCTTCATGACCATCCTCACGGACAGCGATCGTCTTGTCCAACCGGGTGTGGCTATGGGGCGGAAAATACTTTTTCCTCTTCCCTCTTGGACTGCGCACCTGGGGCCCTGAAAATTAAACTGACAAAAGACAAATTAACAGAAGGAAAGACATATACATTTTATTTGATATGAATATATTATAATTTTTGCATGTACATGGGGTTCTCATAGAAAAAGAAGTGAAAATTCAAAGAAGCAGTTAGCCCGAAAATCTTGTATACCACTTTAACAAAGACTCATACATTTGTGGAGAAGTGACAGGGCAAAAGAGAAGTGTTTGGGCTTCTAGGGGAGGTAGATTCTGGGAAGATAAATCTACAGAGGAGAAACTAAAGTTAAGGGCTGTTTTAGTAAGGTCTGTTTACGCAGGCTCAAGGCAGAGCTGTCTCCGGGGGTAGTTGTCTCTTCCTGGTACTGGAGAGGGGGATGGGGACACTTTCACACAGTGAAATTAATGCCCTGCTTTTAGACAGATGGGGGGAATGCGGAGAGCTTGGCCTTTACCTGCTGTTTCTCAGCTATCTCCAGCTCAGAATAATTCTCATGCCAAAGTAGAGTGTTTTGGGGTGGCGTGTTCTGCTCCTTTCCATAGTCAATATGGCTTTCTGGTCTCATCCTGTCTCTCCCTTCTGGATCTTTCTCTCCTGCCCTTCTTCCCTTCCCTCTAATGCTCCTCCTTCACCTGTCTACTCTACCTCGGGTGGGTCACCAGCCCTGTGCGTCTCTGCAGCAGTGCTATTAGGTACTGGCAAGCTTCTCTACCACGTCTTTGAGGTATCTTCTTGTTCCTCTTTTTAATTGCCAGAAGTCATGTGCACTTGCTAGAGGAAGGAAGAGCATTCCTCGATGAGGCAGCGTCATGACACACACAATCCTGTCTCCATTTCTCCATCTTTGCACACACACCAGGCATGCCCCCAGGGGTGGGATTTGAACTGTGGTTGGCCATGTAGAATCCAGCTCCCTTAACCATTAGGCTATAAGGCCAGCTTTGTACCTTCCTCTTCTAAAGACTGAAGGCTTAGCCCTTGAAGAAGAACATTCTTACAAGGGGGGGCTCTCAAATCCAGCCAGCAGGCTCTCCTGCTACTAGCTCTTTAGTCTAGGGCAAATGACAGCAACTCTCCACACCCCAGTTCCCATGAGTGAAATGGGAACCGTGTTAATATCTACCTCATAAAGTGGTGATGGGCAGATAATCTACTTAGCATAGCCTTGGCCACATCGTAAACTTTCAATACGCATTAGCATTAGAACGTAATAGAGGATTGCATTGTTAACAATCATTTATTGTGTATTTCAAAATAGCTAGATGAGAGGATTTTAAATGGCCCCTAGCACACCCAAGAAATGGTAATATTTGATGTAATGGATATGCTAATTACCCAAAATCAATTGTTACGCATCCTATAAATGTAGCAAAATCACACTGTAATGTGATATGTAGATATGTACAATTGCTCTGTGTTAATTAAAAATTTAAAGGGCTGGCTCTGTGGCCTGGTGATTAAGGCAGCTGGATCCCACATGGCCAACTGCCAGTTCAAGTCCCAGACCCAGTGGCTTCAGAAACACACCAGCCTTTCCACGACTCTGACACTGGGGAGATCACCCAGCTGAAGACGTCAGACCTCTCCTGCCCTCGGTGTCTCCCCAATCTCCATGCCTTGTAGCCCCCAATAAAATGTCTGATTGGAAAAAAGAAAAAGTAAGAATGAAAGGAAAGAAGCACACGAGGTACCTGTGAGTATGTGCCAGAAATAAAAAGAGGTGGGGAAAATGGAGGAGAAAGGATTGTGCATGACCGTTTCCCAGGAGGGCTGCTTTCTGTTCTCCCTCCCTCTCTGACTCTCTCTGTCTCTCTCTCTGACAAGTGCACATACCCTTTAGAAAAAAAAAAAACACTAAAAACAACAACAAAATACTAAAATGGAGCTACCCTCGTAGCACAGTAGTTAAATACTGTGTGTGAGAAGCCAAATCCCACATGGCCAACCGTGGCTTGAAAACCATGCTGGGTCCATTTGCATGTGTGCCCCAAATCCTGATGGGCCGGAGAAGTGGAGGAGAGGGATTGCAGTGTGGCCCAAGCCCACTAGGGGGTGTTTTCTCTCTCCCCCACCTCTCTCTTTCTCTCCGGTGAGCACACGTGTCCTCTGGCAATGGGAAGAAACCGTTTTTAAAATAATAATGGACTTGTTTTTATCTACGCACTAGCAAATGTGAGCAGATAAGTGAGCATAATAACAACTAACTTCACTGAGCACCTAGGATATGCCAGGAATTTGTCTGCATTTTCTGTAGTGTATTTATTCTCTACACAGCTCCTTAAGGGAGGGGCACTGTGATTATTCCCATTTGATACTGAGGAGCCCGAAACACAGTGCGGCGAAGTGACCTGCTCAAGTCACACCACAAGGAAGTGGCAGAGCCCGGCCAGGAGCCCAGGAAGACTGCTTTGAGAACCGCGCCTGCAGCCCCTGCGCGGCACACGGGCCTGTCGTAATAATGCATATCCCGTCGCATTTTCCACCTCTGCCCGTTCTGTCACACCCCAAGCATCTCCTCATCCAGGAGCAGGATTCGATGCCCATGCAGGTCTGATTGCTTTCTCCACCGAGAACTCCGAATAATCGTCTCAGAGCTGAGTTACTCAGCTGCGTTCCAGGGTTCACGACTTCCACAGCAGCAACCTGTGAATAGCCGTACTGCCCCAGGGCCAGCTGGTGGTTCCAGCTGCCGGATCCCACATGGGTGACTACACATTGAGTCCCAGATCCCACGGCTTGAAGAACATGCAGGCCACATGTGCGTGGGTGCCCATACTCCAGAAAGGAGGACGAGATGGAGGAGGAGGGATTGTGGTGTGACCATCCTGCATTGGGGGTGCTCCCCCTCCCCCTGAGTGCACATGCCCTCTGGCAAATGCAAAAATTAAAAAACAAAAGCGATACTCCAAAGTGATCAGTGGCCTAATGACCTTGGGAGATTCTCGCCTGAGCGAAGTTTACTTGCGTGGTGAGCTGCCGGACTTCTCGTGGACTTCAGTGCACCGTGGATCTGAGCCTCTGAGTGGGGAATGTATAAAGCAGCGTTTCTTGAACACGTTGAGCCGAGGACCCCATCCCACCTCCCCTCCTCCCCACCACCATTTTCACACAGCATTGCACGGGACTGCTGTCATGTGGAATACACTTATGGAAATGCTGGCCTAGGTGCTCATGTTCAAACAGGATAAGGGGTCTGGGGAGACCGCAGGACCTGAGCGATTAGAACGGAGAGCTAGATAGTGAAGGCCGGAAGTCTGAGTACCAGCTTCTCGAAAACAGGAACCTTATTTAACTAGCAGGTCACACGTGAGGGCAAATTGGAACGAAGATTTCGCTTAGCCTTCACTGTAAAAGCCTAAACCGATAGATGAGGGGGGAATGCCCAGTGTCAGAGCACTGATGACACGGCACTCGCATTTCTACGTGACAATACCGGGCTGCCTGCTGTCTTCCTTTCTTTTCTTTTTGGAAAAGAATTATTATATAATTCATTCATCATTATTATTTTTTAATTTGACCAGACAGAGACAGAGAGAAAGGGAAAGCAAGAAAGGAAGCCGCCAGGCCCAGAACTCGAACCACGCTCGGCCATTGGGGAATCCAGTGCCTTAAGCCACCATGCCACCTGCCAGCTCCTCAGACTGCCTTCTTAGTATTAGGCAGACTTCCTCAATTTGCCACAGTCCCCACCTTGCCTGGTATTCATTTGTATGACTTGTTCTTTTTTTCTGGTTATAAAAGGTACTCATGCTGATTGTAGAAAACCTAGAAGCACAGAAAAGTATGAAAAATAAAACTCTGTGGGCTGGCAGGTGGCATGGTAGTTAAGGCTCTGGACTTCCACATGGTCGACCATGGTTTGAGTCCCAGACCTGGCGGATTGCTTTCTCACTTCCTCTCTCCCTCTCTCTGGTGAATGTGCATGCCCTGTAGCAAATTAAAAATAAACAAGTAAATGAAAGAAATAATTCTTTAAAAAAGAAAAAAAGAAAGAAAAAACATTAACAATACTCAACAACTACAATCCAGAGATGGCTGTTAATCTGGTATTTTCATCATTTTCTTTGCATCTAGATGTCTAAGTTTTCATCATATTTTGGATCAGACCATATTTGCAGTTTTTTTTTTTGTTTTTAGTTTGCTACAGGGTGTGTGTGCTCACTGGAGAGAGAGAAAGAGAAATGAAATGAGAAAACACCTCTGAAGGGATGGCTACACCACAATCCCTGCTCCTCCATTCTCCTCTTGGATTTTGGGCATGCACTCACATAAGCCCAGTGTGTTTTGCAAGCTGCTGGGTCCAGGACTTGAACTGTACAGTAGGGCATGTGAGATCCAGCTGCTTTAACCACCATGCTACCTGGCTGGCCCATATTTGCAGTTTTAAATTTTGACTAATTCAGGGGACATCCTATCAGCTGCTAAATATAGTTTCTTCTGCTGTATTGCAATAGCTTGAGTTTCTAAGAAAACTCATTTCATTAAAAATTACTTACAGTAGGGAACCAGCAGTTAGCGTAATGGCTATGTCGCTGGACTCCCACGTAGTCGACCACGGGTCGTGTCCCGGACCCGGTGGCTTAAAACTCACGCTGGGCACGTGTGCGTGCGTGCCCAAGATCCTGAGAGGAGAATGGAGGAGAAGGGATTGCGGCGTGACCATCCCCCCTGGGGGGTGATTTCTCGCTTTCTGTCTCTATGTCTCTCTCTGTCTGTCTGGCGAGCGCATGCGCCCTACAGTGAAAATCTCTCAAAAAAAAAAAAATTACTTACGGTAGGCCCAGAGAGGATACAGGCTGGAAAGTTTTAGACTGCCAATGAAAAGTGTATTTTTTTTTTCTTTTTTGCCAGAATGTTTATCTTAGAGTTGTTTTTTATGGTCATCAAGGCACAGTTCTAAAAGTTAAACGTTATTTAACAAGTCCAACATCTGAAGGTTCAAAAATCTCTCTAATAAGAAGATATTAACATCAAAATGCATGTCAAAGTTAACACTGAATAATGTTATTATCTTACATGTGAATAACAACTTTTCTAAATTTATATATGACCTTTTCAAAAATTATTTAATTTAATTTTATTTATTCGTTCATTTATTTTTTAATTTGATCAGAGTGAGACACAGAGAGAGAGGGAAAGTGAGAAAGCAAGCTACCAGGTCTGGGACTCAAACCATGGTTGACTATGTTGGAGTGTCCAGCGTCTTTTTTTTTTTTTTTCCTTAGGCCCGGCCCGGGAGAGCGTCGCGTCACCACATCGATCGTGCAAAAGCGTCTTAAACACCACACCTGCTGGTCCCTAAATTCATATATGATCTTATAGGCTATGTAAATATGAAGCTTTATTTAACTGATCTAATACATTAAAGGTAGGAACACATGCTTGGTTACTGTGTGCTACTAAAAGGTTATATATTCAAGTTGCTCAGAGTCTCTTCATTTGAAAAACCAACCCCCCCATATCAGGTATAAATAGTAATCGCTTGGCGCTGCATCTAGAAACCTAGCATCCTGCAAGTCCCAGGGCTTTGGCAGTCCTCCACACAACTCTCTCCTTAAAGCAGAAATCTCCACTACAAGCCACAGGAAAGGGTTCTCCATTCTCAACGTGAGCGTCTCCTGAGACAGGAAGCCCGCTGCCTCCGAGGTACCTGTAGAGCTTGGTTACTGAAAGGCTCTTCCTTACGTTGGAGACAGAAAAGCAGTTGTAAACAGTCTGGAAGGCGAGGTGTGTAAATCCCAAGAGATGCATGAATAGCGAGGCCATGCCCTTGGGAGTTATTGCCCGAGAGGCATGTTTTGGTTTATAGTAAACAGCAGAGCTGTGGGCTGGCCCCGTAACTTCGTGGTTAAGTAACCAAGTCCCATATGGCCAGTTGTGGTTCAAGTCTCAGCCCCGTGGCTTGAAAAACATACTGGGTGCCTGTGCACGTGAGGCCTAAGTCCCGACAGGATGGGGAAATGGAGGACAAGGGATTTCGATGTGACCCCGTCCCATGGAGGGGTGTCTCGTCCCTCTTCCTCTTTTTCTCTTCTCTCCATCTCTGGTGGGTACATATGCCCTCTGGCAATTGGAAAAATAATTTATTTTATTCATGACAGAATGTTCAAGAAAGAGAGGAGGGGAAAGCACCCTGCAGTTCCCTTTCCCAGCACTCCAGCTCATTGAAGTCTTGGTCCACGTGCCCGGCATGTTTCGGGCCAATGGTGCCAGGCATCCGAACCTGGGGTGGGTCCTGTGGCTTCCTCCCAGCACTGCAGTTGTGTACTTACTGTTACAGCTGGCCTGCGTCATTTTCAAGAAACCCAGGTGAAAAAAGAATTTTAAGTTTATTTATTTCTTCCATAAAAAGGACAGAAAGAGAGAGAGAGAGAGCCTGGCCAACACATCTTGACACTACAATCCAGCCCTAGCTTCAGCAAGCCTCAGGTCACAGGCACACACAGGCCTGGCTTGTTCAGAGAAGGCCCCCACCAGAACCAGAACTTTCCCTCGTGGGCCAGCCTGGTAGAGTACTGTGTTCACCACCATGCCATGGTCTGCACCCAAGAGACAGAAAGTCAGTTATCACCCCCAGGGTGATGGCCACACCGCAATCCCTTCTCCCCCATTCTTCTCCAGGAATCTTAGGCACACACACACACATGCACCAAGCACTAGCCCTGAGCCACCGGGTCAGGGACTTGAACCATGGTTGACAACATGGGAGTCCAGTGCCTTAACCACTACACCACCTGCTAGGTCTCCCTTTCAGTGTGAGTTCTTGACAAGAAGGGCATAGAACGCCCCTCCTCTTGCCCTTCTCTTTGCTATATAAATGAGTCTCCTGGCAGCTCTTCAGTGCACGCGTTTCTGGGCACCAGAATCTGTCACTCCGGCACATTTTCCTGAACCCCAGGCTGGATAAACTCTGTTCCCTTCACAGCCTTCCCTTTAGGCTGACTCACTGGAGCCAAGCGCTTTCTGCTGACTTCCATACAGTCGCGCAGTTCCGCTCTCAGAGCCCAGTTGGGGTATTTCAAGAAAGCTATTATGTTGCCAAGCAATCTTTTCTTTTCTGAGCTCAGCTCATGTTTCTGATAGATCATGTTTTTCAGATGCTTCTAGAAACTCAGAGTGATTTTAGGATTTCATACAATAAAAAAGAAGTTAAACAAGGACAGCTTTGGTTCCGAATAAGACAAGGAAGGGAAGAAAACCTGACTCACAAGTCACTTCAGTGAAGCCTCCCGGATGTCTAATGAGAGAGTGGTTCAAGAGTCACTGCCCTGCAAGTGACAGAAAACCTGACTCAAACTGGCGTATGTAAAACAAAGAAGCAAACGTGTTAATAAGGAATGGAAAAGCCCAGCAGATCTTGGCCTTCAACCTAACTCCATCCAGGAACTCAAATACCGCCACCGGATCCTGGTTTCTTTCCACCTCTCAGCAACACGATCTTCTGTATCGCCTTCATCCTTGGTCAAAAATTTGGCCCAGCCTGGTGGTGTAGTAGGTAGCAATCTGGACTTCGGTGTTAGAAGCCATGTGGCTGACAGCAGATTCAGATTTCCAGATGGTTTAAAAACAAGTGTGGGGCCAGCAGGTGGTATGGAGTTTAAGGTAGCTGGATCCCACATGACTGACTACACAGTTCAAGTCCCAGACCTGGTGACTTGGAAAAACATGCCAGGCATGTGTGCCTAAAATCATGAGAGGAGAATGGAGGAGGGATTACACCATAGTCATCCCCCTTGGTGGGGGAGGGGAGACTTCACACTTTCTCTTTCTTTCTCTGTCGCTTCCCCATGAACATATGTGCCTCATAGCAAAACTAAAAACAAAAACAAATCGTAAAAAACCTCTGTTGTGTGCACGTGTGCCCAAGATCCTGACGAGCTGGCTGGAGGGCTAGGGAATGTGGCGTGGCCATCCCCCCGGGGGGTGATTTCTCACTTTCTGTCTCTTGTCTCTCTCTGTGTGCCTCTCTCTCCCCCCCTCTCTTTGTCTCTGTCTCCCTTTTTTGTGAGCATGTGCACACGCTGTATAGGAAATTTATGTAATAGAAATGTTTTGTCGATATTATTTTATAATCTATGTGATATTAAAAAGTTTTTTTGGTGATTCCTACAACTCTAGGCTCACATTTTCCCAAGTTCAAGTTCACCAGGGAAGGGCACCTGAAGGTCCAATAAAAGTCTCATTGTATTTAACTGACTTTGACTGTGTCTTGCGTCTGCGTCTGAACCAGCCGTTGGGCCAGAGATAGGGACAGTCTTGCTGGCCAAGCTGGTGTCCCATGTCACCTCATTTCCTTCCATTCTATCAGCTCTGTCAGCCTTCTTGCTCTTCCTCAAGCTCAGCAAGCATGTTCCTGCCCAGAGCCATTGGCCTTTCTGGTCCCTGTTCCTGGACAGATGCTTGGCTCCCTGGTTCACTCAGGTTTGCTCAAATGTCGCCCCCTCCGCACTGCCTTCCCTAACCACTTGGGAACCACTTAGCCCCTTGCTTTGCCTTGTCTTCCTTTCCCCAAACTGACGGCCACGTACATTGTTGTACATTCTGTGCTTTTTCCATTGGCTGGGGACCATAGCTCCTTGAAGGGGGTGATCCTGCTCACTGAGCCCAGCAAGTGCCTAAAATACAATAGGTGCTCAGTGACTATGTATAGACTCAGCAATGAAGCTCACATGCCTTAAGTCCAAGCAGGGCAAGTATGAGCGGTCAGATGGCAGCTGATAAGGAGATGTGGAGCTTGAGGCGATGTGGACAGGACATGCCCTGCCTAAAGAACTCAAGTTTAGATGCAAAACCTAATCTCACCAGAAATACCTCTGGGAAGAGGGCACTTGACTTTATAAACTTATATACGCTTAAAGTTGGAAAGTATCTTCAGCATCCTTCGATCTTCCCCATTAAACACATTGGGAACATGATGTTCAAAACTTCAGTGACTCAGCCAAGCTAACTCTGCAATTTGGGGCAGAGCCGAAGAAGGTCAGAGGTCTTCTGAGCTCTGTCCAGGGGCCCTTCTTCCATCTGACGTGCCGGTTCTCCTTTGAAGCTTGTGGAGGCCGTGTGGGTTGGTTGAATTGTTTAAACACTTGGCAGTCTAAGGTAGCCTGCAGTAAAGGGCAGGTCTGGAGGAACGACCATCAGGAGAGACATGGTTATGGGACTTGGTTCACCCACCTCACCCGCAAGCAGAGGGTGCCCTTGTGTGCATCCTCTACCTTGAGACAAAGCTGACTTTTGCTGATTTATGAACCTGAAGGCAAGTCAACGCTTTAACTCCAGATTCGCTGCAGCTTCCTGTTCCCAGGCTGCCCTCTGCAGACTGGAGGATCTCAGCTGATAAATAACTTAATCTGTATTTGCCACCCTCCAAGATGTGTGGACTGTGAGGAGAGTACAGGTGGCTCCTAGGATTAAATTGCTCTTTCAGGTCAAGACGGGTTCTGTGCTGAGGTCATTACAGGGCTCAAGGGCTCCCACTTTGGTGTGAACACCGTCATCATGCTTATGAAAGGATCAGAAGGAGTTTTTAAATTCTCCATTTCTCTCTCTCCAATTGTCAGAGAAGCTTGTGTGCTCATCAGAAAAAAAAAAAAAAAGCGATAGAGAAAGAGAAGGAGAAAGCATCCCCCCACCGGACATGGCCATGCTGAACTCCTCCTCCATTTCTCCATGCTGTCCTAATTTTTGGCAAGCATGCACAATGCACCCAGAGTGTTTCTCCAAGCTTCTGGGGCTGGGATGTGAACCATGGTCAGCCGTGTGGGATCCAGCTTACTGGTCTATGCCCCATTTAGGACAGTAGACCAGAGCTCAGAGAGGAAGTTTTTGTCCAAGGTCCACACTTAGAAGTGGCAGACCTGGGGTTTTTGTGTCCTTGACTGCAAGGCTGTTCTTTTTTTCCCTCTCCCCATAACAGGGACAGCAGTGTCCAGGGAAGTTCTGCTGACTGGGGCTGAATCATAGCAAATGCATCTCCATTTTTTCTGATTCAGTAACTTTGAGTGACAGAGTAACCAACCTTAAGCCCCAGTGATCGATCAGCTCTCCCAAATTGTTTGTGCGTGGCTGTGCGTTTCACCTGGAATTCCCAGCAGGGGGACTGGAATGTCTCCCACGACCAGCCTGTGAGTTCATCAGCACCTTCCCAGAACTCGGGACTGCGCTGATGAGATGGGAAGCCAGGCGTGCCCTTCACTTCCACTTCCATTTCCATTTCCTGGTCCTGTCTGCAGGGGTGGTTGCCTTAAGCTGCCTCAATAGCATATGTTCTGT